CGTTTTTCTTTTCTTCGGGGTTTATAATTAGCTTTCTGGGTCAGTGTCCTCCATTTTTCTGCGTTCCTCATTGTTTCAAATACTTCAAATTACGGGTCCCAAGCATTTGTTCATCTTCCACAGTCAATCACAAGCGAACAACAGCAACAACACCAGGATCTCCATAGCTGCCATCCCATTTTTTTTTTTTTTCATTTCATCAAGGTGCTTATAAACTCATCTCTTACTTATTTTTATTCCATATGTGCCAGGGTCCTTGAATAGAGATTATAGGCGAGAAATGCAGTAGTGACATGGTCACTGCCATGTTAAGCCCCTGATGCTCAACGCATTCCGTTAATCAACAATATAAGAAAGTAGGAAGCCAGGTTATAGGAGGATTGTAGAAAGAATGAAGATTTATTGTTAGGATTTCTGGAAAGAGGGGAGGAACGAGTTCTTTGCTGGTGAGAGAAGGCAGAAGAATAAGAAGGAGAGAGTAAAAATAGGGATTTGATCGAAAATAGTAAGGGGAAACAATTGATTTCTGTTTTCGGAATTGGGTTTTAGTCTAAAGGAAAAATGTGTGGGTTGGGCTTGGCCCAACCCAAGCTAAACAAGAAGCTGGGCTGGCTTCATCCCAGCTCAGACCCGGTCCTCCCCCTTTCCCCCAACCGAAAAAAGAGAGGAGGCTCGACTGGAAACCAATCTAGCCTCTCCCGAAAGAAAGGATGAAAATGAATAAGAAAAAAAAATAAATAAATAACAATAATAATAGTGTAAAATGAAGGCAGAGAAGAAGAGGAGAAAAAAAAAAAAGGAAATGAAAACGAGTAAGGCATGGCCCAATGGGCTTGCGACCCAAAAAGACTTTTATTTATTTATTTTGATTTCATTTTTTTTAACTTAACTCTCAATATCCTGTTTTCTCTTTGCCTTCTTATTTTTTGCATTAATTTATGCCTAATTTTTAGATATTTCTTTTTTTTTTTGTTATTAGCTTTGAATCTTATAATTTTATTTTTTAATTAGGTCGGATAATCATCCGATAAAGGAATTATCAAGTCTCTTAATTTTTAGAGACCGATAATAATTTTTTATCAACAAATAATATAAAATATAAAATATAAAAATTCTCAACGAAGTCTCCTATTATATAGGGACTCGTCGTTTGATCAAAAATAAAAAATAAATGCTCTACGAAGTCTCATATCCGATAGAGACTCGTCGTTACCAAAAATCAACATATAATCGGGATGTTCTTAACACATTAACCGTGTAGAGACTTAAAGTGGATTTGATGTTTAAATCGATGTGTCACTCGACGAAGGGGATCGACAATTGTTTCAATACGATGTCACGCTCAAAACTAAAAAACTTAATTCAACTTGGAAATTGAAGTTTAAATTGAAAACAATTTGACATAAATAAAATACTTTAGGAGATGAATTTAGGACTAAACTAGATGTGGTACTTTTTCTAGTAAAAGGCATCTTTGGGTGATCGATATCTTCGCAAAATGTAACAAATTCTTTACCCGTAGAATCTCCGAACCAAGTACTCATTTTAGGTTTTTAGTTCTTTCAATACTAGGTGACGACTCCAAACTTGTAAATAATTCTGTAAATAAAATCTAACTTGATAAATTAGATAGATTGTTTTCGGGAGTCTCGTCCGACATCGGGTAACGACATGTATATTCAATAAAAAAAAGATTAATCTGAACTTTTAAACCTAGAATATTCTAATGATTTTAAAAAAATACAACTTTCTGATATATCCTTTTATTTATTTCCTATCAAATTTAATATTAATTCCAGTTCTATATTTAGCTCTTAATCAACTAAAAGAGACTATTTAAATTTTTTTTTTGTAGTTTTTTTTCCGTCAATTTTTAATTAATCAATATAAAATTTTGTGAGTTTAGATTATTCTCAATAATAATCTTGTATTTTTTTTATTATTTTCCAGAAAGGATCAATCACACTCATTATCAGACCTGGTTCATATAGCCAACGAACTATACGAAGTCTATGCCTCGTTGCAACCTACCATCGACCTTTCAATTCTGCCAGATGTTAGCTTCGGGTGACTTGAGTTATGCCAGTCTGGCCCTCGAAATCTGAAAATTCTTTATTTGATATTGTTGTACTTTCTGGTGTTTTTTTTTTTTTTGTCCTTTCTTTGTAATAATTAAGACCCTTCTAAGAGTGCGGTTCTCTCAATTCACGGCAGTAGCATTTGTACTTTCTCCTAATATTTGTACACTACCTGTCCCTAAATACACTTCTTTAATGTGATCAAAGCAAATATATTTGGACATTACCTGTCTATAAACACACTTCTTTAATGCGATCAGAATATATATGACCCATTTTCTGAATTTCCACAATTTGATCCCTCCAAAAACCCATTATTCTTTCACAAGTCACCGCCTTGCTTCGAATTTGATTTTTTTTTTTTTTTTCTGAAAATGCTACTGCTTTATATATATGTACCCTTCGAGTAACAACCAAGAAAAGCAACAATTCAGTCAACAGATTATGATGGTTCATTCAAATCAGTATCCTTACTATAAGTTCCTGCATTTATACCACTCAACTTTTAGTTTCCTTATATATGTTTTCCTTTTTCTTTTTTCTTTCTTTTAAATAAATAATGAATAGAATTAACCTTCTTTCACTTTATAATATATAGACCTTAAATCTCACCTATCCTAGCTTATAATTGATGGTGTATCTAAATCCTGATCACTACATCAACATTCAATGGCATGAGAAGACCTTGACTGGCTTCTCCTGCCTTCCTCTTCAGGTGCTTATAACTTCAGCAAGCAATGATGACTTGTCCATCTGAGAGTTCAAATTAGTAAGTCAGCAACCCAACTCAACAAGCCATAAGCTGGAAACTTGACAACGATCATAACAATTCAGTTCTTACAAAACCAAATGAGTCCATCTAAGTGTCAAGAATCTTTTTATCAAATAGTCCATAAATAACATCGTTTGCATTTGATTTATGATCAGTTTCAATCAAGAAGTAATGACAGCAAATTACGAGAAAATTACAACTGGTAAGATATACAGTTTCAGAAAATAGAACTGTGAAAGAAACTTAACAGAACTAACCAATAACCAAGCAAATCACATGCAATATAGCAGCACAGTTTTATGAGCATTCCTTTTTTAAACAACTCGAGCTAGTACATTCACCAGAAAAAGCAGCACAATAACCTACAACATTATCCGATTCTTATAGAAGTTAAATCCGTTTCAGGATACTTTCGCTGTCTCTGGGAATGTATGCTCGATCATTCAGCTAAAAATATCAACCCAAAACACAAACAAAAAGGCATACTTCAAAAATTTACTAGCTAGTTGAGTTGAAAGATAGTAATAAACTACGGAAATTTGAGGCTTTAGATGTGTCATAGTCTTGCTTGTATATAGGTGAGGCAAGCAAAGGGTAACTTTTTCTGGTTGAAATAAGTGGTGTCTTTGAAGAAGAGTTGGCCAGATGGGACTTTTTTAAGGCACAAATGTCTACTTGTCTTGTCCTTCTGCATCTTTTTAGTTGTTGATTGATGATACTGCTATGGGATATCACTTTGATCTTCTATCAGTATTCAAAAATTCATCAAATATCAGATGCTAATTAGTAAGGTCCAGATGAATCCGACCGCAAAAGATTATGAAAAACCTATTACGCTAAGCCAGATTCACAGAAAAAGTAGGCTCTTAACAGGAAATTATTAAAAATCTTTTATGCTTATCTGTAATATATGAATCAGCTGTGCCACCCACCATCTATGCAAAGGAGAAAATAAACATTATAAAAGTCTCAACCATCGCTAAGAAATCATGTGCTCACCAGAGATCCTGGAAAAAGATGACAAGAAGGAAGGATCTAATAGGGAAACCCATCTATCCTCTAGCTTGAAAGATTGGTGTTCAGTGAGAACGATCTTGTGTGAAGCAGAAGATTTTTCAAGTACGGATCTGATGTCCTGGTGGACAAATTAAGCCTGCAAGAAACTGGCTGTACTTCAGCATCTTCACTACGCCCTTTTTTGCAGCTGCTCATCACTATAACATTCTTCATCCTTCATCCTGCCTTCCAAGATCTCTACATCGGCCCTTGGTACTATCAGATGCGGGGCATCAAATACCCGTAAATTCAACCTCTAAAATAGTCAACCCAACAATAAATAACAACAACCACCAAAGAAAAATCCATATCTTTCTAATCTCCTCAGATTGAAAAATTATGATTCTTGAAGAGAGTCACAGATTCCAAAATTACCAAACATAAAAAATATTAAGCAAACCATGTAATCAGAAACACTCAGCACAACTAATTTTCAAGTAGCTAAATTTTATTCTCATAAACCTTTAAGGGGCAGAATAAGTCAAACTTTAAAATAATAAACCCAACAACGACGACAACAATATCAATAATTAATTCTCATTGGCTAATGGTTTCTTCTACAAAACTTAAGATTTAGTTTTAAGGAATAGAAAAAGAATAGGGATTTCCCTGGAAGTAAAGAGAACAGAAGCAAATAATTTTCATTAGTCCTATTTTCTTGCCAAAACAAAAATTTATAATTTTTTTTTTAAAGGGTAAAAACCCAAATTACCTTTCAAGCAACCAGTAATGACAGAATATGCACCCCCTCCACAACCCCCCCCCCCCCCAAACAAAAAAAAAAACGTCACCTGTTCAAAAGTTGAACAACTTTTTAATTGAAGAATTTGTCATAAAAATGTAATCTTTTTGTCCCCATCAGAGAATCTAGGAACTGAGTTCTGGTAAGGATTGTTTGTTTGGCATGGGGATTCGTGCCTGGGAATATATTCTCACGTGATCCAATGTTGGACTTCTTACATTAATTATCTTTCCTGTTAAGAAAACAGGCAAACAACGCCTTTCTCTATTAATACAAACACACTACATGGTTCCAACTGTCCATTTTGGAACCGGCTTTTCACCTCTCACAACTGAAACCCTAGCAGAGAGAAATGGCTGCACCTTACTTCTCATCCACCCTATCCACTCCAAAACCCCTAAAATCACCACCAAAATCGTTATTCAAACCCTATTTACCTCGTTTGTCTCTCGGAAGATCATCCAAACCCAACCTGTTTAATGTTGTTGATGGAAGCTCAGCTCTTGGTACTAAAATGGCTTTGACGCCTAGTGCTTATATCAAACCGTTGCAAATTTCTCTTGGTTTCGGGGCCTCCTTCAGCAAGAAAGAGAAAATATCCTCCGACGGTGGTCAGGAAAAGGAAACACAATTTGAAACACATTGTGACATCTCTGCTCCTCTCTTCATCCCTAGTACTCTACAGCCACCAAATTCCGTCCGAACACAACCATTTCATCAACCGTTACTATCAGTTCTCATCCACATTGCAGCTATCTTAAAATTATCTAAGCTGCTTAAAAATACTAATAATGGTGGTGGAGGCAACGGCAGCGGCGGTGGCTACCGCTTTGTTAAAATGGAGGCGCCACTGTGTATTTTAAGTCTTGATTTTGGTACCCACTTTATAAATAGTGGAAAGACCACCCCATCAGGCTACGAAAAACAAACAGAACTTGCATTTCATTGCAAAGTCTCTGTTTTTCTATTCATTCACACAATATTATTAAAATTCCTGAAATCATGCTCTCGTTTTCCGTCCAGAGTCCTTTCCAATTTAATACCTCGGATCTTCTCTGTAGCTATGTTATGGTCTTGTACAACTAAAATTGCTGGTGGTACTGTTGGTGTTGGTGGCGGCAGTGGCGCGAACACAGCGGGGGCTCAGTTGTTTTTGTTGAAACAGTTTTGATGCCGAGGGCAAAGCCTGTGGCTCCTCTTGATTTTGAGACTTCTGTTTTCAAGAAGGAGAAGATTACTCTTGCTGGCCACGATGAGGTTTTTCAATTTCTATACATTTGTTTTAAACTTCTTTCTTTCTTTTTTTTTCCCCCTAATTTAAAGTTCATTTCTGTGGATGCGATAATCAAGTGGAGACCTTAATTTAGTATTTGATAACCAAAGGTAGCTATTAGCTAGGATTTTTAACTTAATTCTTTTATGGATTTTGCTGTTTGTCTTTCTCTAAGTTGTTTTCTTTTGATCAGATATCTTGTTTTGTTTTTTTCTTTTTTTTTTTATGTTTCATCACTTTGAATTTTGAAAGAATGATTATTGATGGAGTTTTATATGTGTGGTATTGTAGTACATTGTGAGGGGAGGACGGGATTTGTTTCACCTGTTGCCTGATGCATTCAAGGGGATTAAGATTGGTGTCATTGGTGGGGGTTCCCGGTTGAATATTCTCTTTTCTTATTATATTTTATGGCTATAATATGTGCATTGCCTTTAATTTGCAGTATCAGATTCGTAGGGTTTGCCTCTCTTTGCGGACTCAAACTTCTAGTATATGTCGTCTTAGCTTTTTTTGGGTTTCCAGATAGCAAAACCCCTTCCTGTACTTGGACTGAAGAAGCTCCCTTTGCTCTTATACTTTATATATCTTATTATTTCTTTCTTGTGTTTATGGCTGGGGGGCAATCCTGTATATATGTATATTCTTACAGATTGCATGAAATCATTTTATGCTGAGGTAATTAATACTAGATAACCTGGAACTCATCCATTTTTTGTTTGAGTAGCTCCATCTGTGTAGGATCTCTGAAAGCATATATGTTTGCTACCTGTTAGCTTCTTTTTTTTTTTTTTTTTTTTTATTCACTGGCCTTCCCATTAATGTGATAATTCGAAGTTAATTCATTGAAGTTATTTTTACCATGAGTGACTGTGGGTCGCTTAGAATATATAAGTTGCTAACAAGCCCTCATCCATTGCAAGGGTGCTGCTCAAATTCAGACTTTAAGGGATTCTCTTGCTGAAGCCAGGTCTGATATAAAAGTCAAGGTAATTATTTACACCTCCCTCTTATGTCAGTTCTTGTGGAATTCTCAGTACTGCACATGTCTATGATGTGTGTCTGTGCTGGCAATTCCCATACAGAGATGCTTGTGTTTGGTTAAATTTCTTTTTGTGAAGCAATGTGATGCAAATTTCTACACTTGAAGCTTCTTTTAGTTCTATTTGATGATGTCGAACAACCTCTAAGAATTATATGGCTCTTCAATGGCTGTGTTAGAATTGTAATGCTTGCAGAAAGGGCAGTTGTGATGAAATGAACACCTGCAAAACAGGTCCTTCTAGTTGGATAAAGGACCAGAATAACCAGAAAAGCCTAGAAATGCAAGAGTGAGGAAGATGAATAGTGGTAGCAAGAAGAGAGATTCAGATGGATGGAAGGGTATGTAGAATGGTTCATTTCTTTGCTACCGACTTGAGGGATACATGTTGGATGGAAGGGATAGTATGTTTTTTTTTTTTGGTGCAACTCTAGGGATAAATGTTACCAAAGCAAGGATGGAGGACTACTCATATCCTTCTTTTGCAAAGTAGCAAAGCTAGGAGTTGAACTCGACCTCTTGCTTGTATGCAAGAGGCTACTAACAATGAGCTAGAAGCTCTTTGGTCGAGTGTGCCCTAAAAATGAGTTGTCATTTTTGGTTGGTTTGACCGTCAGGGCTAAAAACATACGGATTCTTCTCGACGTGGGTGTGCCTTAGTAGTTTATGCATCCACCCGCTTACATCCCAAACATGCATGGTTCTCTCGTTCCAAACTCCTGTGCGGGTGGATAGCTTGGCTAGAAAGAAGATTATATGATGATGCGTGATATCTGGATATATCACTTAGTAATGGAAATAGAAAAGGAAAATGGTACTTTGTTTCTACTGCATTTTCTAGTTGATTTATTTTAACTCCCTTTTTTTTTTTTTTTTCTATAAGCAAATATATATATATATTAGAATTGTATGCATCTTTTTGCACAGGAGCCATGCTAATTTTTTCTGTATGGTTTCAATTTTCATCCAATGTCCCCAAAGGAACGTAAGGCTAAAACTTTTGTGATGCATTTAGCGGAAGTTCCAATTTTGGTAGCTAATTCAGGCTAATGAAAGAACGCTTGATTTTTAAAGATGCATGTCATAAATTATGCATGTTTTCTGAATGTCATTAACTTTTTTTTTTCCGTACTTATTTTCCCCTTTGAACAGTTTAAATTTTGTCTCATGCAACAGCCAGATAATTATGAGGAAGTTTTCTCCCAAATGAAGCCAAACAGCATTCTTGGGCTTTCCCATGGATTTCTTCTTGGCCATTTGCAGTCAATAGGACTTGATTTCCCAACGAAAATCAGTGTGATTGCTGTTTGCCCAAGTGGAATGGACCCGTCTGTAAGGAGACTCTATGATCAAGGCAAAGAGATCAACGGCGCTGTTTTTGCAGTCCGCCAGGTTTTTCTCTCGCACACCACAAACCTGTGCATGAGCACTAAGGCTGATTAATTTCACCAAAATTTTGGAAGCTAACTTTAGACTTCATGTACAGGATGTTGATGGAAGGGCCACGAATGTTGCCTTCGGATGGTCAGTTGCCCTTGGTTCGCCTCTCACTTTTGTCAGTACACTAGAGCAGGAGTGCAAGCCTGACATCTTCGGGGAGTGTAGTTCTCTCCATCCTTAAGAACCAGTTCATGCATGGAGCCAGTGAAGTCCGTGTTCCATTGAAACCTACCATGGACATTTCAGTTCCACAAGATTCTAGCTTTGTGTGACCTGAATTATGTTAGTCTAGCGATAGATTGAGACCTGAAATTCCCTTATTCGATGTGTATTTGCACTTTTCTGGTGTCTTTTTTTTTTTTTTCCTGTTCTTGTTGGTAAGTTATGGAACACAGCATGTGATCCAAAGCCTCTCTGAAACTGTTGTTCAAGCCACACATACAATAGCGATATTTTGTACTTTCTGGTCGTATTATTACACTTGCCAACACACTTCCTAAATCTATGTTCTATGCTCTCGTAGAAAAGATTGGTTCTCCTACAGAAAGTACGATGGCAGTGACAAAAAATATTTCTTCAACTCATCGATGTTCTCTTTTCCAATTTTTCTATGTACCTTTCCTTGCAGGACCTGCTTCTTCCACCGAAAAAAAAAAAAAAAAAAAAAAAAAAAAAAAAAAACAAACAAACAAACACTAAGCCCTCCATTACAATTTCCAAAACAAAAAAGGAAGTTGAAAATGATCCATTTCCAAAATTCCACATTTAATTTCAATCTCTCTCTCTCTCTCAAAAAAAAAAAAAAAAACATAATTCGCTCATAATTTACCAACTTGCATCGGGATTGATTGTTGTTGTCTACAAATCTACTGCAATTTTATTCTTATCGAGAATCAAAATGGTACTGAATTTTTTTTATTATTATTTTTTAGGGAAAAATGTTACTGCAACAATTAAATTGTGGGAAAAAAAAAAAAACATGACGTTCTGAAAATTAATTGTCCAAAATACCCATGAAATTGTTTTTGTTAGAGCTAATCCGGCCTCCGTCAATTGTAGAGTACATTATAAATTAGTCCCTCTAGCTAGTTTGAAGAAACAAATGTATTCGTTCTCATTATTTTAAAATTTATCATTTAATCATTTGATAGGGTTGACTATATTTAATTTAATGTTATTTTTATTCCATAAAATATCTTCTTTTCTCATCAATTTTTTTTTAAATTTTTTAAATAAATTGAAAAAAAAAAAAAACTAAGTTACAAGTGAATTTTTTAAAAAAATAAAAAATAAAAAATTAATTTTTAAAATGAAAGCAACTAATTAATTCATTTCTCCAAACAAAAGCAATTAAATTATAGTTTACTAATCAATCGTATCATTGTTGACCGGCCTTTATTTGTTTTTGTAAATAACCCAAAGAAATACAGCATGGAAAACCCAAATTACCCTTCAATCAACAACCAATTGTGAAACATGCACCCAACGGCCGACCGGCCAAAACAACTATTAGGTACTATCTTTTTTTTCAGGCAGAAAATGTACACTCTCAAAGTCGATCCTGACTCTTCTAATTGGGATAAAACATTCGAAGAAATTTTGGACTGCATTTGAGGTTTTCTTTCTTTCTTTTTTTCTTTTTTTTTCCTCCAATACTTGCATGCTGTTTTTCATTAGTATGTATTGACCGAAAAGAAAGTTTTAATTTATACCTATTTTCTGTATTAATTTACTTTCTTTTTGTGATATATATTTTCTTAGGGATGTACTATATTATAGATGAAGATGAAAGGAGGGTATATATTGATGGCCCGCATAACGCACAGCTAGTCGTGAAGATATTGAAATAATTTAAGGAATCAGTTGAAATCATTCTAAAAAGATACTACTAAATTCATCAATTAAATTATTATTTATATATATTTTTATAAATTATCAATAAATTATCTATGAATATTTATTATATAATATTTATTAATAATTGATAAAAAAATTTTATTAATAATTATTTAAAAAATTATGAAAATAATAATTTAATTGATAAATTTTGTAGTATCCTTCCACAAAAAGCTACGTGATTAGTAAGTAAAGACTTGTCGTACAAGAGATGAAAGCAAATAACCTGAATCTAAAAAACCTTTTGGCTTGCTATAGCTATATTATACACAGAAATTCTTGCAATTTGTTTTTTTATTATAAATAAAAAAAAATCATAGTACTTGATGATCCCTTTATTTTGGTATTTAATGAAACAATAAGCTTAGAATTATTTTGTTTATCTTAGTGAAATAGCCTGTTTATGGTGTGTTTCTAGAGTATTTTGCTTCCCTGGTACCCATTATAATTAGTAGAAGGCAGTAGTTGTTGATATATTCCATTGAATCACATTTAGAGAATGCCTCTAACCTTTCAACAATGGCTAACTATGAAAGGATATATATGATAAGAAGAAACAGAGCAGCAGAGTTTCCTTGGTACCCATCATTTTCCTTCATTTGATTGTTCTCACATTAGTTGCATTGGTCTTTTGTAAGAAGATATTTGTGGATTTATGAGTCTTAAATTTTATAATCTTTATCTTTTTGTTTTTGGTAGCTTTGTCTCTCTTTGAAATCAAATAATAACTAAAAAAAAAAAAATTGGCGTCGAGTTAACAAGCATTCATTGATTTATTGAATTTTGGTCAAAGTTTTGACCATTCAGATTTCCATCAACTTTAATGCAAACTAGAATACAAAGAACAAAAATAATCAATACAAGTAATAAAATCATTTAAGACCAATATGAGATAGACTTGTAGTCAAACAAAAAATTGACCATTAATTTTATTATATGTAGTTATTATCCATAGGCTTTTTTCTTAATTGATTTTCAGAGTTCTACTAATAAAATTGTAGACTTGATAACTATTTTTTCAGAATCCCGTTTACTAATTTCACCAAAAAAAAAAAAAATTCTACACCGTAAGAAACATTAAAGTATATCGTTTTGAACCGACACTCAAGTTGTTAACTCATATATATATATATATATTTGAACGTGACTCCATCATTAAAACCATAATGTGACTCAATCATTAATTAAAACCATAAATGCTTAAAGGTTTTTTTTTTCCTTCCTTCCAACGCATCTCTTACCAAAAAGGAATAAAAAATTATTCCAAATTCATAAAAAGAAATAATAAATTCCAATATATATATAACAATGAGATCAACATTATATTATCTTACCCAAAAAAAAATTGAAAATAGTTCAAACTAAATACTTGAACCATTAAAAGAAAAAAAAACACAAAAACGTAGACAATAAATTTAAATTCAACCAACAAAAAACAAAACAAATTAATTTTAACCTCTTTTTTTATATTACACTCATTTTTATTTTAAAAAATACACAAAATTGGAAAAAAAATTAATAATTTTCAAATCGCTCTTTTTTACATTGACTAGACTAGTGTATTTGAAAAAATAATAATAACATTTTTTCTTGAATATTAGTATTCAAAAAAAAAATTGTCTATTGTCTGAAAATTGAATAAAATGACAGATTAAATATTTTTAAAAAATTCAAAAATATATAGGATGCAATTAGAAATTTAGACACATAAAATATTATATAAAAAAGTTATTTATTTCAAAATTAATAAACTATTATCTAAACATCCCCGTTCGTGAAGCTGTACTTGGGCCATGCCTAGGTTAAAGGCCTGAAACTGATTTAGCTTTAGCCATTAGACAAGCTCCTACAATACACAAGTTTTTGTTGTACGAGTCTTGTTTAGGCCGAACCCTTGAAATGCAACCGCTTTGTAATTTTGTCAAGCCCTAAATTATGGTCTGGCCAAACCTAGAAAGGGGCATCATTCACTCATATCCAGCACGTTTAAATAAAAATAAATTCTAAAAAGTGGAGTTTATTTTCAATACAAAGTATCCATCGAGTGAATTATTGTGGTTATTTTCCAATCACTATTATTCTCTTTGTTTAAGAGTTCAGATTTTGGAGCATCATTGTCTCACCTTAAACGTGAACAAAATGCTAATGAAGCTTTCAAAATAGAGGGGATGTGAATATGTAAATATAACATTATATTAATTTATGTACCTAACAATAGGCATGGGTTGCTTGTTTCTCTTTTCCATTTTTTTATTTGTCATTTTCCTTTTGTTTCCTTCTTTCCTTCAGTACTTAATGGACCAACATTTAGTTTATTTTTTCTACATTGAAATTGAAACTTACATCTTGCCATCCCCAATAGCTAGCATGAAGGGGGAGTAGGAGCTGCTCAAGATTGGGATAGGGATTCCTAGGATTCATTTATCAAGATGTAGACTTGAGTTTGATTTACTAGTTCAGAAAATTAATTTTTCAAAAAATTGCATTCACAACAAAAAGGGAATCAAAATAAATATTAAAAGTATAAAACTACTACGAACGAAACATACAAGTACATAAAATAATAAATTTCAAGTTAAAGAATTTGTCAAAAAATCATCTCAACGTAAAAACTTAAACTATTCGATGAAAGTTATTTAAATTTAAAATTTACATAGATTCACACTATCTTATGTTTAATTGGTTTAATAGCAAATTTTGCTTTCATTCTATTACGATTTGACAATTTAAGGTTCTTAGTATCAAATTACATAATTTGAACCCCAAAATATTGATTTTTGAACAAAATTGATCCAATTTTTCTAATTGCGATTTTATATCGTTTTGGCATTATATTGTTAATTATATTTAAAAAATATTTCAAAAAATTTTTTAACCCCTCTAATCCTAAACTTTTTTAAAAAACTTATTTCCTTATAAAATATTAGGGGAGTTAAAAAAGTTTTTTATCCAATTTATAATATTTTATTAAAAAATTCAAAATTAAGGGATTAAAAATATTTATAAAATAGTTTTTTATATAATTTATAAAATTTTTATAATATTCTATAAGAAAGAAGTTTAAAAAAAAGTTCAAGATTAGAAGGTTAAAAATATTTTTATTTAAAAAAAAAACATAATTAATAACAGAATGTCAAAACGGTGTCGTATATTGACATTCTAAATAACGGTCAACTTAGTTTATCGTTAAATATAACAATAATTTAAAAAAATTGGATCAATTTTGTTCGAAAAAAATAATTTAGAATTCAAATTATGTAATTTGATATTAAAGTTCTAAAATTATCAAATCATAATAAAATAAAAATAAAATTTATCATTAAATTATACTTAATTTATTAAAAAATAAAAATGATAAAATTTAAACCCGTAAATATATCCTGAAACATCTGCAGCGCTAGAAACATAATGAAAGGGTAAAGCATACCTAGAAACTTCCCGAATGATAGCCTCTCAATCCAGTCCACGTACTATTTATGTTTTTGTTACTGTTACGAGCTTGTTTGGTAGTATTTAACGAATTCCGTAGGTAAAACTACCAAAATGACTCCATACAATTCATCTTTTTTAATACTTTCAGCACGATCATTTTGGTACACGTCCTTCAAAAACCTTAATTTTAGATCTCCTTATGTGATATTAGTAATTTCAAAGCTACCAAAAAAAAAAAAAAGATTTTAAGGTTTTTCCCTCGGTTATATTTGTAATATTTTTTCTCACTGCTGATCAGAATTTTCGGTTTTAAGCTTTGTTTGGAAGAAATGAAGAGTATAAATATATATATTGCCATGAACAGGACGCTGAAGTCCACAATAAATCGGAAAGTCACGGTGACAAAAACTGAAGTAGCCCAGTAGCCACTGCTATAAAGATAAAGAGCTATTCTAGCACAAATTTACCATTTCAGTTCATTGGTTCAAATTAACTTCAATTAGATGCCGTACTTGAAAAAGCATACTCTTCACCTTAAACTCTCGTATTATTTAGCAGATCGAAGTTTATTGGGAAGGCATGTAGCTGGGGTTCGACACAAGTACTCCAATTTAAGAACAGAAAAGTAGTTCAGTTTAGAATAGCCTGAAAAAAACTTATCAATAGGATTGCATGCGGTTCAACCATAAGATCAAACTTTCTCAGGCACTCAAATGTCAATGAAAACTTGTTTTGGACGAACGATCAAAACAAGAACATTAAGTCCATCTTTGCCCCTAACCATTTTTTACCTGCTTCATTTTATTGCTGGGTTTCTGCCAACATATTAGATGGGGACTTGGGAATTGGGACTGCAGTGTTGGGAGCCAGAGTACCTCATTGCGTGTAAAACTGTGGCGAAGCCTGCCCTAATCATCGACTAATTTTATTTTCAATATGTACAAGTTTTAAAGAGCTCACCTAAAGATCATGATTCAGCTTTCCACTTATCAGCTCCTTTTACCTTTCTTCTTTATGACAAGTCTGCAGCATCTAAAGTAATCTTAACTCATCTTTTTATCCTTCTATTTCCCCCAAAAAGAAATACACGTCTTCTCAATTATACTTTATTCATTGAAGACTGTGTGCGTCTTTTAAGAAACAAAGGTGAGATTGATAAGTGCTGATCATTTTCCAAAACGTTTTAACATGTAAACACACAGAGGAGAGCTACAATGCTTAGCCAGAAAAGAGAATTCACAGCAAAAGTAGATGCTTAATCAGACAAAATAACTTGTTAAATAACGCCATCTAGAGTAAGCAAACGACTTAAAGCCATATCTTACATTAATTACTAAAGTTCTGTCAAAGATATCATGAATAACTTCCCAGAAGAAATTACATTGAGATGATGAACATTATTATTACACTATGCTATCATCAATTCTTATTACAACACGTGTAGTACATCCAGCCATCTATCTATTGTGCAGGCATGAAACATCTGTAATTGCACGGCTCTCATTTTCGTACAGAACGAGATAAAATATGCTATGAATCAACTGCATCACCACCATCTACGACAGGTAAGGAGATAATGAACATTATAAAAGAAACCATAACCAAAAAAGTCACAGGCTCACCAGAGATCTCCTGAAGAAGATGACGAGGATGGACCGAATAAGGCAACCCTTCTCCTCTTGTTTGAAAGTGCAGATTTTAATGAGAACTCTTGTGAGGCAGAAACTCTATCAAGTATGGATCTAAAGGCCTGGTGGATGGAGCCAGCGACAAACTGGTGTGCTTTGTTATCACCACTATGCCCTTCTTTGCATTTGCTCATCACAAAAACATTCTTCATCCTGCCTTCCAAAGTCGCAAGCTCTGCCCTCATTATTATCAGATGGAGAGCATCAAGTGCTCGTCTTATATCAGACAGAATTCCAGGCTTGTAATCGCAACATATAGATGCCCTGATTAAATAAGGGGCACCAAGCAAACCATCCTCTTGCTGTTCAACTCTCACTTCATCAATATCCAATGGCATAAGCAGACCTTCACTAGCTTCTGCTGCTTGCCTCTTCAGCTCTTTCAGGTTGCTTATAACTTCAGCAAGCAATGATGCCTTGTCCATCTAAGAGTTCAAGTTAATTAGTAATTCAGCAACCCAACTCAACAAGCCCATAAGCTGGAATCTTGACAGGATCATAACAATCCAACTCTTCCAAAACCAAATAAATCCATCTAAATATTAGGACTTATTTGTCAAGTAGTCCATAGATAACATCAGCTAAACTTGATATATGATCAATCTCAATCAAGAAGAAGTAATGAGAATAGTTAGCAGAAAATAATAACAGGTAAAGGTTTTGGGTAATACAGCTGCTAAGAACCTACTGATAACCAAGTGAATAATAACAGGCAGCGGTTAACCAGTAATACTTATTATAAACAACTGAAGTATATTCACAGACCAAAGCAGCACAACAACCTACATTCCGATAGAAGCTAAATCCATCCAGAGTTTCAAGATACTATCACTATCTCAAGTAATTCATGTCATACAGCAATGACATCAACCAGAAACACAAGAAAATGCATACTCCGTTAAAAAATTTCCCTGACACTGAACTTGAATTTTAATGCAAGATTCTTTCATAAATTCAAAAGTTCGTACTGACCTTACTGCGAGAACATGAATTTAATTTCACATCTCAACACTTGCAAACAACAAAATTAAGCAACTCAAGCTATAACAATAATAATAATACTTTCATGTACATTACTTAATGGTTCACTAAATTTTGTTCTCAAGCTTTAAGAATCACAATTAAAAAAAAAATTAAAAAAAATTAAAAAAAAAAAAAAAACTTTAAGAACTATGATTCAATTTGACTCAAACTTCAACATGACCAAACCAAAAACAGCAAATACCTTACTAGTACCAGGTAATAGGCTCCTAAGGGTGTCAAGATGAGCATTAATCCTGGCCCTGCGCTTCCTCTCAGCCTCACTGTGATTCTTTAAAGCAGCAATGCTTCTCTCAGCCCACACCCCTTTCCTCTCCATTTTCACACTAGCCTCCACAAGCTCTGCCCTTTTATTATCCAAAACCAAAGATGAAGTTGAACATGACCCATTTCTTGTTTTGGCCTGTAACCCAGAATTCACCAAAAACCCATCATTCATTCCCTCAAGGTGAGAGGCTTGCACCCTCGTTGAGTTCCAAGAACCAGGCTCCATAGCCAGTATAGTAAAACACTAACAAACTGGGGAAGGGTATTGGTGTAATTTCCAGTTGATGTGCCAATAAGTGCAGCTTCCATTAAAACAGAGAGGACAAAAGTTTGAGTCTTCAGAATGTGGACATTGCTTTGCTTTGTTTTTTATAGGAAGAGGCAAAAAAGGGTTAGAGTGGTACGAGTGGATAAATGGAGACTTGAAGAGTTGGTCGGACAGTATGTTTTGAAGGCACAAATCCATCCAATAATCATGCACAAATCTCTACTTGTCTTTCCATTTTTATCTTCATCTTTATCTTATCGATTGCCGATACCTCAATAAGATCTCACTTTGATTATCTAGCGGTACACTTTTATATTGAAATTAACAAAATAAAAAAAAAAACATTTTTTATATTAAATTTGGAAACTAAATGATAAAAGATTATTTAGTATTATTTATATAATAATATAAAAATAAATATACAATATACAGTACAAATACCATCGCAAAAGTTGAATGGAGCTTCTCAGCTTTTACTTTTTAAAGGGGAGCTCATGTGGGTCCCACAGAAAAAAGTCAGGTTACCAAAATGCCTATGGTGGCATTTCAAACCCCGAACTCAGCTCCCATCCATAGTCCAAAATGGAGCCATAATGGGATAATCTTTTGCCAATTCTCAATTTCTTATCCATCTCTTTTAGTTGGAGCTTGAATTAGAATATCAGTTCTTTGAAAAATTCAAGTGGCATCAAATTTCTCATATTGTCCTTTTTTCGTTCCTCTTCAACAATGAAGAAACACACTGACAGAGAGGATCTGAGAGATCTTGTATATACATCAAATATCCACGCAATATATTGTTCTATGAAAGAGACATAGGCAGAACTCTCGTACCCTTCAACCAACCCCCACTAACTCGATATGAGATAAAGCCGATTCTTGTGTTTTCCCCCCTCTGCTACAAAGAAACACACTTTTATGGAGGGCATGAAAGACTCATTGATTAAGTAACCTGTCTAATTCAACCACAATGTCACATAAAATAATAATTTACAGAGAAAATTATAAATTAGTTTGAAGAAACGAATTAATTATGTTAGCACGATCGTTTGTTGTATTATAGGATCAATGATAGTCAGATTAAAGGCAAATTATTACTTAGTTTCACAATATCTCAATTCCATTCATTCACATTCGAGTTGCAGATTATGATACTTGAAAAAAAAAAAAAAAAACCTAGAATTTCTTGGCTAATCAATGCACCACTACGGGCCTTATTTATTATTATCAATTATGGACTATCCTTCATAACATCAAACAAGAGCCCAATCAATCTGTAAATGATTTTCTTATTTAAGTTCAATCTATTTGAAATCAATTATCTTAAGCCAAAATTAGTTAAGATCATATGCATCTCATTCAAACTCTTATGGCATGTTGACTAGAATATGAAGTTCTTAAAGTCTCTTTATTGCATCGCAATCCTTTATGTACCTTGGATGCTACCATTCAAGAGATTATTTTAGGAAACACATCTTAATCTAGACAAAACACTTCGGTCTATAGTTGTTCTTACTGCTACTCATTTTAGATCATTCTATTGGAAATCTAGAATTCAATTATGTAACATGTTTTTGGCAATTATCCTATTGTAGAATGCTTGTTGTTGTCAAGGTTTTAGACACATCCTATAACATTGTCCTACTTGACCTCGGCGATAAAAAAAAAAAAAATTCTTTTAAATCTCGAAGCTATCTCAAAGTTTGACTCTTTATCTCGTTGTTGTTGTCGCCACTAAGGGATCTACTGCCATCACCATAGTGACTTTGAGGCTCTTCTTAAACTTGTTATCTCTTTCAATTCTTTCTCTGTCATATCTACCACACTAGGTAACTTCTTCTAACTCTTTGACTCTGTATGTTGCAATCACATGACCAAAAACTCTAATATCTTATCTCCAAAACTATCGATCACCTATTTACCTCTTATATATGCTTGTTAATGGTACCAAAATGCGCATCACTCACATCGGACATGCTTCTACTCTCTATCTTAGCCTTCTTAATACTTACTATATTCTTAATTTAACTTTAAACCTTATCTTTGTTGCCTAATTGTGTGAACAAGGGCTAAATATTGGGTTTTCTCCATTTGGTTGTCTAGTTTAGGATACATATATGGGTCGGATTCTTACGATGGCTCGTAGAGTAGGATAATTATTTGAGCTTAGCTCCCTACATCTTCCTCAAAGCCTTGTATTTATAGCTACCATAGACTCCTCTATAGGATCTATTAAATTTGAGTTCTTTGTTGTCTTGATTGTCAACTTAGTAAACAACAAGCTATGACTTTTATCATCGGTAATTCTATCTTAGATACTTCTTTTGCACCTATTCATTCTAATACCTAAAGCCTTTCTCCTATTGCTTCGGTTAATGATTTTTTTTTTTTGTAATATTTATTGATGATTTTTCTTGTTTTACTTGGATATACTTTCCGAAACACCAATGTAAATTACCTCTAGTTTACATTAAGTTCGCCCATATGATTTAAATTCAATTTTCTCTCATAATTAAGACTCTTTGTACTGATAATGCCATGGAATATAAGGAATCCTCTTTGTTTATCTTTCTTGATAAACAAGGTATTGTTATCCAATACTCTTACTCTCTTACTTCCTAACAAAATGAACAGGCAAAGCATAAATATTGTCACATCCTTGATCCGTTCGCACTTTATTGCTTTCCATTTTATGTATTAAAAAATTTTAAGAGAAGCGACTCTTATTGCTATCTTTACCATCAATCGCATTCCTACCTTGGTCCTCAACAACCTATCTTCTTATGAAAGACTCTTTGATAAGTCTCCTAATTACTTGCTCCTTCAATCTTTTGGATGTGCTTATTTTGTTCTTCTACAATCACATAAACATACCAAATTAGAACCTCATGCCCATTATGTCGTTTTCTTGATTATGGGGATAGAACATAAAGGGTATAAATATTGAAATCCTATCTCTCAATGCTTTCGTATTCTTCGGATGTTACCTTTTGAAAGAATACCATAATTTTTCTCTCTCTAAATTTCACCACTCTTTCACCACTTGTATCTTCTTTTTTTTTTTTTTCGCATATCCTACTTTTTAATTACATCCTAGTTTCGATACAAGTTCAATAAGGGGGGCTTAATGATAATTCTCTACCTCTACACCTAGTCATACTAAAATAATTCTAAATATAGATCATGCATCTAAATCCATCATTCGTCGTAGCACTTGTAAGAGAAACTCTCTATCATCTTTTGATTACCATTGTTACTCTACTACTATAACATTACATAAGCCTAGTACTTATCGGAAGACTAGCACTAATCCTTTTTAGCAACAAGTTATGAACGAAGAACTTCGAGCTTTATAGAAAACTCATATATAGGACTTAGTTGATTTTCCACATAGCAAGACTCGATCCGATAAAATGGGTTTATAAAATAAAATACTATTATGATGGCTATTAAATGCTAGAAGGCATAATTAGTCGCCAAAGGCTACGATAAAAAAAAAAAAGTACATACCAATAGCTTGATTCACCTCAATGTATAGTCTATTAGTCATTGTTGTTGTTAAGCAATGGAAAATCCTTCAAATGGATGTTAAAAAATTCTTTCGTAATGGGGATTTGCAAGAAAAAGCATGCTTGTAATCCTCCTTCGAGTTATGATCCTCCTCCTCACAAGGTTTGCAAACCTCAACAAGCCTTTAATAGGTTAAAACAAACTCCTCGAGCATGGTGTCATAACTCTGATTTTTAGGCAAATACTTTCTTTTATATTTTTATTTTACTTTATTTTATCTTTATCTTATTTTTTTTTAATTTAATTTTAGTATTTACTACATATAAAAAAAAAAAAGGAATCAAATATATATATAAAGATAAAAAATACAAAAAAAATTACATGATTGATTAGGGACATGATTGAATAAAATCAAAACTGAAATTGAAATATTTAAGGATACAATTAAAATAATTGAAAACTCTAGAGCTGAAATTACAAGATACAAGAACCCAATTGAAAAAACTAAAATTACAAGGACTATAATAGCACATCCAAATGGTATAATTGAAAAAAATTAAACCTACAGAGAACTAAATTAATATAGGACATGAACAACGGGACCAATTCAAAATTAATTTGAATGACACGTTGTCCGAATCCTCCCAATTATGTCATTGCATGTCCGTCTTGTACTACACCACTATTTGGGACTATTCATCTTTATTAATGGCTAGAGAGATAAAACCAATATGCACTTGTAGGTCCCGTAACTATACCAACTTGTATAACAAAAACACCAAAATAAATAAAACATAATGCACGGACATATAGCACGATTGTTTTGGCTCTATTCAAGTAGAGCCAAAGCCGACAACAATCTAAAGAGTTTGTTCTATTGCGAGGGAGTTTTAGATTTAAGGGAATTGATCATATGAGTGAAGAGGAAGACTTTTGAGTATAGATAGGGTTTGAAATTAGGGTTTCAAGGTAGATAGAGGAACTATAGGAAATCTCAAAGGAATTAGGAGAAGAAATTTTAGAAGAATTGAGAGGAAATTGAAAAAAAAGTGGTAAGAGCAATTAAAAGAATCAAGAAAAAATTGAAAGAAAGAGGGAGAAAAAGAAAAAAGTAAATAGTAATTGAGAAAAATAATGAGGAATTAGGAAGATTGAACAAAAATAGTTGGGGAAATTATGGGGAAATCTTAGAGAAATTAAAAGATAGTAGAATAGAGATAGTGAAATTGAAAAGAAATAAGAATAGAAAGGCAAACCCATTTCGAGTCTTACTTTTGGGTTTTTGTCACGAGAAGCCTTTATCTCTCTTAAGCTATTTATTTTGCTTTCAATTTTTGAACTAGTTTATCAATGATCACATCACAAAACCCTATCCGTAATTCATTTCCTTGGTGTTTAATTTACTCAAACAATTAGCTTGAAAATCGATTGAGTTGAGTTCACCAAAA